TAGATTCAGCAATGTGTGCTTTAGTGGTGGTTGTGCGCCTAATGAATCTACTTCAGCTCAGTTCTTTTCCGTAAGCCTTTAGCTTTAATCCTCCTGTCTGGAACAGTGATAGTCTGGCCCAGAAGATGACATCTGTGAATCGTTCATTAACTTGTAACCAGCAGCAGATGGTTTTTGAAGCAACTTGCTACATTTATGCCTTGTTTCCCCTCTCTCAATCAGATTTGCATCGCTTTGCTCAGAGTTGGATCTGACTGACCATTTGGCCACCTCACAGGCACCAGATCGGTTCATGATTTAAAATTCAATATGGAAAAAAAACAAGTCTCTTGCTTGGAAATTAAGTCCCTTGTTTATTAAGCTAACACTAAGGTGCTGTTTTTGGGACAAACATTATAGTGTAGATGCGTACGTAAATATAAATATGGAAAGGTGTGCAAAATGAAAATAATATTTGACCACTCATTTGACAATTTGGACATGAAAACATCTTGGCAAGAGATGTAATATTCTAAATTGTTTAATCAAAAACACATGCACCAGTACATTCTTTTGTAAAAGTGATATTTCATAAACACTTTGAAAAAAAAATACAGAAACATTCCAATAGACCTACAAGAGGACAATTTGATAAGATATACATAACATCAAGAAGTTAAACTTATTTAACTTCAGGTAAAAAAAAAAAAACTTCTTTAACTTCAGGTAAAAAAAACTTCTTTAACTTCAGGTAAAAAAAACTTCTTTAACTTCAGGTAAAAAATCAGGTAAAAAAACTTCTTTAGTTACGTTTTTTTGTATTAGAATTAGAAAAATTAGAAAGAGTTATTCATTTTGTTCTGTTACTTTAAAATTATTATGATTGAACTATCCATCCATCCATTTTCTTTGCCCGCTTATTCCATTTTGGGTCACGGGGGTCGCTGGTGCCCATGTCCAGCAATCACTGTGCGAGGGGCGGGGTACACCCTGGACGGGTCGCAAGTCCATCACAGGGCCACATAGAGACAAACGAGACAAACAACCATTCACTCTCTCACTCACACCTAGGGACAATTTAGAGTTACCAATCAGCCTAACATGCATGTTTTTGGACTGTGGGAGGAAACCGGAGTACCCGGAGAAAACCCACGCATGCACGGAGAGAACATGCAAACTCCACCCAGAAAGGCCCCTGGACCGGGGTTTGAACCAGGGACCTGCTCGCTGAGAGGCAGCAGCTCTACCAGTTGCGCCACCGTGCTGCCTATGATTGAACTAATTGTTTGAAAAAAGGGGCAGATATAATAAGATTTTTTCTTCTTTCTGCTGCCTTTCATTTTAAATCTCCTGTATTGTTTTATATAGTTATGAAACTGTTTTGTATTTTTAAAATGAATAAACTTTATACCATACCAAGTTATAGCACTTTCCTTTATGTAAAAGCTTAACAGATATTTATATTGTAACTCATCTTAGATGATCTTATGATGGCACCAACCCACATTCTGAAGGTTCCTGAAGCAAACTACAGAGGATCTTCATAACCTGCACCAAACATGATACAATCCTATGACATCAGCACTCTGAACATTTTTCCATCCCGTTGTGTCATCCTGCACTTCGTCTTCACGACTGATATCAGTCAGACCAGAACAGAGACAGATGTTTTCAGGGATGACTAATTGGGTCGCATCAATGAATCTCTGTTCTGCATTACCATACTTGAATTGATTTGATGACCGTGACACTTTGCTGTATCAGTGAAAATCTTCATCTACATGTCTAACCGCTCTTCAGAGCACACACTGGTATGTATATGCATGTTCTGGTTTCTGTTGAGGTCCCTCTGGGGCTGCCAGGTCTCCAAATGTCTCCAATCAAACATATAGGATCAGCACATATTTCAACTCCAACCCAGTACCAATCTGCCAGAGTCCAACAGCAAGTTGCATCTGTCGGCTGCAGGAGAGGACAGAAAGGTTTTATGACTATGCATTGAATCACTGCTGTTATATCCAGGCCTGAGGAGCTGCCACACCCTACTGACATGGAGCCAGCAGTGGACCAGGACTGATTACCTCTGATTTAAAAAATATTTGCATTCACACATTCCAACACAATTTTATTTTTTCCCATCACTTTGTCAGTGTGCTTTTTATTGTCAGTGAGTGTATTTTGAACAAATTGTAGCTTTATTTTGTCAGTTTAGTAACTCCATTGTCTGAATGAATCTTTGCTGGATTTGTGGAACCTTAGAACAAATAGTTGTACTGCAAGAGTACCACATACGACATATGATATGCCTGTTGTCAAACCGGTAAACAGCAATACAGATATCTATAGTAATAGCCTGAACAAGTAAAGAACGTGTATAACCTTAGACTTTGATTTATGACCTTCACTTTGAAGCTGGGATGATTACTAGATTAAGCAACATGCTGTCTAGTGGTGGTACAAATGTGTATCAAGTTTTATCCTGACACATGCTCAATAATCCAGGTAGATAAATCTAACAAGGATAAGTCATGTGCTCTGGACAGGTTCTTCTTTGTTGAAATATTTCATATTTTATCCAAAAGACTTCTTCAGTCTGAGGAGCTGCAACAAACTCAGTCTTATAAGCAGCAGTTTCTCGTGGATCAGCCAGTTTACTGGTTACAGCCAAAACTACTATAGTTGTTCACATGATAAAGGAGGACCATCAGCCTAACAATTGTTAGTACTGTAGTGCCCTGATGGTCGCTTGCTATTCACAGGGGGCTGAGTTATACTTGCAATAACAGCATTGTAAGAGGAGGGCAGTTGGACAAGGAGGCCTCCACCCCTGTTTAATGATGGATGCGTTTTCTATACAAATATCAAGTATTGCATTGATACACTACTCAATATACAGTACATATCAAATATGATAATACTTATCACAAGAAAACTTTTTTTTTCACTATGGGAGTGTGCTGCTTGTGGGACTCAGTTTGTTTGGGGTCTCCTCAGACTGAAGAAGTCCTTTGGATGAAGGACGAAACATCTCAGAAAAAAATAAGAAAGAAATGAAACAATCCAGATGACCTGACTGAACATCGTTGGATTTTTACCTCGATTAATGAGCCTGAACTTTGGTGCTTTGTTAATTTGTTCTGAGCAGATCAGATGTTATGGGCAGGAAAAACAAAGACATTTTATAGCATTTGACCTTGAGCTGTGATCTTGACCTTGAAGCGGGGTTATGAAAAGTATAAGTGAAACTAGTGATGATGCAAATGTGTATCCAGTTTCCTTAAATTATCTTGAGTGGACCACAAGTTATAGCTCAGACAAAAGGAAATTTGAGGCCGTCCATACGGATGGAGACTAACATAATTAATGTCTTTGGATAGGTGTATAATAATATAAAATGTATGGTGCTATCTGTCCTTGCTCTGCGTCAGTGCTGTCACGTAATACTGAAGCGGCGTGTTTGAGCCCAGATTGCATCAGGTAGGGCATTCGGTAAATAACAATTGCCAAATCTCTGAGTTCGCTCAGTGCAACGACCTTTGCAGAGGGAAGCATTGGAAATAAAACCATTAACGGTGCTCAGTATGACCATGGAGTGCATAAAGAAGAGAATATTTCCACCATGACATCTACCTTATGAAAATGTTATTTGTAAATTGTGTTGGGTAATGGGAGCTTTAACCAGAGCATAAAGACTGTGGTTTCCTCCTTCCAGGCCAGTTTGTGACATAATGTCAGCTACTGTGCATCTATAAGCTGTCTGGCTGGTTGATCTGGATTTCTTTTTCTCCTCTTTTGGGAACGTGATTATACAGGGTGGACTTTGGGCTAAATTAGCCATGACTTGCAATAAAGCATTTTCTTCTTGCCCCTGACCTAGACAGATTAAGCTCATAGACAGCTTGTTTTTATTTGATGTTCGCAGATCATAAAAAAAAAAAAAAAAGTGTGATCAATTTGGTGTTAACCGATGGAAGACATGTACCACACCCAAGCACACGAGAGACATTTACGGTACGATGCCAATGATGGAGGAGCCACAAACGACACGTGCTGGTTTTATAGTGTTCACCAGGATACATCACAGTAAACACTGAACCATTAACATCACCATCAAGTAGTTAGACCAACAGACCATATCCAATCCTCTGGCTGCAGGTTATAGTTGTGTCATAATGCAACATAATGGATCTGCCAAACGTTTTAAGAATCACGTGACTTCAGTCCGAAGTGAGACAAGAAAACAACAGTTTCAGAGTTTAGCCACATATATTATATAGCCATGGACAATAATGAAAGGCTTTATCATAGTCACATGAAATGCAGATTTAATAAAACACAATATACACATATGCAGTCCTATGACCATACATTTGCCGGAACCTAATTAATAAATGTAGCATACATCAAAGCATAGTTGAATAATTCTTTTTTATCCTCTTTAAAGCATCAATATCAGTAGATGAGGTCAAATGAATGTAACAGGCTACAACACTTGTTTGACAGACATGATCTTTTTCCACATGTTAAAGATATGCACTGTTTATAAGGAAGTCAAAGGATATCTCAGCACAAGAAAAACAGTATGAGACCAAAACTCACTAAACAAACGAACAAAAAACAAAAAAGAAATACAAAACAGAATTAATAAATAAATCAAATATATATCATATGAATAAAATAGCTATGAGGTGGCTAAGTTTATTATAATTATTTTTTAATTATTTTATTCTGTAGCTTGTATTACAACTATATCTTTGATTTCTAAAACATTTAGACCGGTGAACGACTCAATACTGAAAATACAGTAATATGCTTTTATAATTAGATCAACTATGTACACGAGTCTGTTGCCATGCTAGTCAAACAACTAATTTTCCTCTTCTTTTTTTAAATGGACACTATACAGTAACAGCATTAAGCGCTCTGAACGTAAACAGTTTGTGCTGAGAATAAAATACTTTGCAACTATGCATGGTAATTTCTTTAATATTACTCTGAAAAATGTACAGAACAAAAAAGGCCACGCATGGGAACACGCCGTCTCCAAGTGGAGGGGAAGGTGAGGGTAGCTGTGACATAAATATAAGAACAAAAACAGTCTCTCACTTTAAGTTGCCATTTCCTTGTCCGTTTGTTTGCTTCCACCGAGCCTCGTCTGCTTCGTCATCCTCGAGCATCTTTTCTTGAGCGGTTTAGCTTGCCGAGTCCCAGACTTCCCCACTTGTCTCCTGCCTCATTCCTGGCTCTCCGTGTTCCCTCCTGCCCCTTCATCTCCTATCACCCTGCACGTTTAAGGATGGTAATGACGGGAAATGAGTTCAGTTATGTCAACTGTAAAGGTCCACGAGGCAAAGGTCGGGGCTGGGAGTCACCTGGCTGGTCACAGCAGCAAGCAGAGAAGCAGTGGGAGGCAGAGAGTGCGTTTCAGCGTTGGTACCAGTATCGCACGATATGCGGCACGTTTCTTTGGAAGGACATGGAGGGGAGACCTGGCTGTGCCCTGTGGGGCGGAGGGGAGGCTGGTGGGTGAGGGTCTGAGAGGCAGGAGAGGATGTAGTGGAGGTTTTGTGAAACTCGTCAGTCAGATTATGTGTGCAGCAGCGGCTAGCAGCTTTGTGTTGATTCCTTATTCACGGGTTGGTTTGAGTTCTCACTGGCTGGAGCGAGCGGAGGCTAAGTGGTCGCTGTGCTGATTCTGGGCCCGAAACCGCAGCCTCTGCTTATTCTTCTTTTTTGTTTCTTTGGGTCGGTGCTTCCCCGAGCCGCCTGGGCAAACACAAATGAGAGGGAGAGAAGACATTTTTAATTATTACAACCTTCAGCTGTGAGACGCCATGATGCTCTTATGTCCAAGTTATTCACTTTTTCAACTAAACTTATATTTTCTGAGCTTATAATGGAATCAGAAACCTCAAATATTCCAATATATTTTGGATTCAGTGTTCAACACGGTCAGTGTACTCTCTCAAACCAGCTGTATTTTCTCCGCAGCTTGAATTTCTGCTTTTAAAACCACAAAAATGAAAGATAATGCCATTTTCCGAACAGAGCATTCTAGATTTATGTGCTGTTTGAAAAATGAATTAGAAGAAATGTGCATTTGAGAATGCCTGCCTCTGCCAAGAAATCTCTGCAACTCTGTATCGAAAAGCAGGTGATAAAAAAATAAAGAGATGAATGGACAAAGAAGCCTACTCAGGCTGACTGCACCCCTGCTTGTTATCAAGCTGTAAATTCTCAGCTTTCCTCTTCATCCTTTTCTTTCAGTGCCAAAAACAAAATAATAGATGTCTTGACAAACACTTAAAACTCCAAAACCAGATGCTGCAAGGCCTTTGTGTTGCCATCACATGAGGAATGAATGCATACTGACATTAGGGGGCTTAAAGAAACAAAATTTATTGGTTTACAAAAATATAAAAAACAGAGCTGACAAGCATCGACACTTTCAACCGAGGAGAAATCACTGGAGCAGGAAGCATTAAAGGAGCATAATCTCAGAGGAGAATACTGGACATGTGACATTAGAGCCAGTAATCCTGCTGGGGTAGAGATGGAAAGAGACTGGATATAGGCTGAAGGACTATTAGAGACACCCGAACTAATTGCACACTGGGAACAGGTGAAAGTGCCAGGCTGAGTGGAAAACATTGGGGAAGCTGACTGAGAGATGGCCAAGAGAAAACACTGATCTGGTGGGAACAGAACTGAACATTAGGATCCACAGAAAATGAAACATGATTTCAGGTAGAAAATCAAAGAATTAACAAGTGAACAAACAAATCCACAGAGCCTGACACTTTAGCAGTGCTCAGTTTATTTACCTATTTTTATTTTTGATCAAATAAGTTGGGGGATTTAGGTAAATGTTTATGGATGTTTATCACTAACCAGTGGTGTAGTCTACGTGACACGTTGCTATACGGAGTATACCCACTAGAAAAGCTTAAGATTTTCAGTATACCCACTTAAAAGTGCCCAAAGATACATGACATATCATTAGACATGTGTCATTGATAAGTTAAACAGCAGCTAAATGCATCGGTAACAAAGTATCGATATGCAGTGCTTGTTTATTACATTCGCTTATGCAGCGAATTATTGTATAATTAATACTTCTGTACTTACTACTTAATACTTGAACATGTTTTGCTTTGATGCTGTTTTATAAATTTTATAACATGTTTTTAAAACAAAGCCAACAGTTGTACAAAGTTTATTGTTCATTTATTTTACCCACACTTGCCCCCACCCTCATTCGCTCCACTCTGGGCCCATGAGCAAGGCCCTTAACCCCCATCTGCTCCCTAAACAGGTCTCTCTTGAAAATAAGTTCCCGTGGCTCAATCCCTCCTTTATTTATACTACCTGTATAAATAAAGGGTACATTAAAAATAAATAAATAAATCAAATAAAAGCATCAGAGACATTTGGAAATGTTCAATATACTTAAAAAAAATCAAAATAAATTGACAACTACATTGTACTAACCAGTGTACTTTGGTTTCTAAGCACAGTTTATGGAGCGACCACGATAAAGTTAGTTTGACAGTGGACGTTGGACACTCGCTCCGTGGCTTCAACGGCGTCCAATGTTTAACGTAAAACTAAGTTTGCCGTTGTATAAAAATGTAGACTATGCCACTGTCACTAACTAATGTTAAATTAATGTTGAACCATGTGTGTGAGGTCAGAGTTGTTTGTCTGCTCAGAGAGGAGCCTGCAGGTGCACCTGATAACTCCAAGGCCTTCTCCGAGTCTGTAAGCTGGAAAGCCGAGGTCATCTTGACCTCGCCTCTGTCTGAGAAGTGTGTATTATAAAACACTTCCTGCCTCACTGTCCGGTGCAGGTTCTCACTGACGAAGCTCTAAGCATGTTATTTTTTTACATCTGTGAAAGCCTGTTTTCGTGATCGATCTGCCCTTGCCAGTAAAAGACCAGTTAAAAATCTTCTCGTGTCCTCAGAGTGGCTTATTTGAGACAATAGATAATAATAGGATTTTTATTTATCAAACAGAAATAATGCAGAAAATTTAAACAAAGAGAAAAGGCTGCATGGATTTTTAACAAGAAACAGTAAGTGTGTTGTTCCATGCTCATTAGGTTTTAACTTGGAGTGATATCAAATTTATACGTTAGATCATTTTATCTGCACCTATCTGGATCGTACTTAACCTCTGCAGTGTTTCACCAACCAACCAATAAGGATGAATGATAAATGGTAAATGGACTGTACTTATATAGCACCTTTCTATCTTATCAAGATACTCAAAGCTCTTTACACTACAATCTGTGCCTCATTTACACATCCACACAGCACTCTACTAGATCTCTACAAAGATAATGGAACAAATCATTCTAAAGAGACTAATCAGTGATTTATCACATTCATACACTGATGGGACACACATCGGAGGCAACGAAGGGTTCAGTGTCTCGCCCAGGGACACTTCAGCATGTTACTGCTGGTGGAATCGAACCCCCAACTCTTGCATTGGAGGACGACTGCTCCAACCACTCAGCCACAGCCGCCCCATGAAGGATATTTGGGTGCAGGGGAGTTACCGGCACTTTGAAACAGAAGATCAAAGACCACACAGATCCTCTTTTTCTTGAATTAGTCTTAAGCTTACATTTCATTCTAAGATCCAAGATAAATGAAAAGATTTTAGGAAGGAAGTTTCAATTCTTCTAAACTGAACAATACAAATGGCTTCAGCTTGTAACAGGTTAACTTTGTGTTTCAGGTCCATCAACACCGAGCCTCGGGTTTAGATAAATGTCTTTTCGGCCTCCAGATTTATAGTCATAAGAGGAGATACGTGTGGAAAGTTGCGTAACTTTCAGAGTTATGAAGCTTCCACTGCCCCATGTTAATCTATCCCAGGTTTCACTGGCAAGGGCGAAGCATGATGGGCGCTGACTTCCTGCCCTGGTGGAAGCGTGTGTGGTGGAGGTTTAGCGTCCACGGCGCTCTGCCACAGAAAAAACTGGCTACCGAACCACAAGGCAACAATCTGGCTGCCAAGGCCACAAATAAGATAACGAGGTGTGTGTGTAAGATGTATGTGAGTGGGGAGGGGGGTGAATGTGAGGGAATTTGAGGGAAAAGAAAATCTAATGGGATGGGTGGGGGGGGGGGGGGTAAGACTTGGATGATGACACACTATCTGGATTCTGATCTAGAGCACAAACAGGCCACGCTAAGGTTCGCTGAAGGGGGAAACACACCAACGTGCTGAGAACCAACGCTCCTGAAAAGCGAACCTCATTCACAGTTTAATTACTGCACTTGTTCAAGATTCTTTTTCTCACAAAAATAAAAATCTGTGTGAATCAAAGCATCGTCTCTAATTGCCTTCTCACATGTGTTAGCATTGTGGTGGTGCTTCACCTACTCCTACTAAAGACCTGCTTACCATTCTCAGATCTGCACTGAGAGGTGGATTTAAAAATACAAGGCATTGCTTTGGGTCTCCGAGCTATTTCCTGCAATTATCCTAATCTTGTTTAGATTTTTCTTTTTGGAGTTGCCAATCTGAACAGTGTCAGAGTTTTCCCGCACACAGTTTCTAGCTAAAGCTGCCGTTTGAAAAACATCTTTCATATCTCTCCCATCGGACTCTCACGCCCTTCGGCTGAAAGAGCTTCTCAGAGAACTTTGTACACTTGCCCTGCTGATTCCACTTGAGATTTCTCTGCATGAATTACTCTACAATAATGTCTATTAAAGCACATTTCAAGCTCAAAGGCATTTTGGCCTATTGGTCAGTTTTCCTAATTGCTCTGCGACAACGTAATTTTCATTCAAAACAGTGTTGCTAGGTGCTTGATAAACATCACTTCAAGCTTAAACTAAATTGTTTTTGACGGTAATAAAGTACATGTGTAGCGTTTGTAGCAGGTAAAGCCCTTCCAGGTTGTTTCTTTAACATTTGGAAAAAAATTGACCTGGAAACGATTGCGTTTATGCTTGAAACAAATAAATATGAGAGGGCGAAGTTAAGAAACTGTTTTCCTGGATGGCTCCAGACTGGGCAAGACAGGTTAAAGCCAAAGGCATTCAAACAGAGGAGTGGTTCAGAATCAAACTGGCCCGTAGACTGAAGCTGAGAGGAAAAGTTTATTGATGGCTGATGAAGATTGACAAGAGGTTCTGTAAGACACATCTACTTAGAGTGCATAAGGGTTTTCATTTGTTGCCCATCCCTAAGCTTTGAAAAAATATATAAGAAAACTAGATCAAAGCATTCTTCTGAATTGGCAAGATTTCTCTACATTTAATATGGTTTATCCATCAAACCATTATCTTTACCCATTTTGTTCTTTTTGGGTCACGGGGATCACTGGTGTCCATGTCCAGCAGCCACTGTGTAAGAGACGAGGTACACCCTGGACAGGTCTCCAGTCCATCACAGGGACACAGAGACAAACGAGACAACTGTTCACTCTCTCACTCACATCTAGGGACAATTGAGAGTTACCAATTAACCTAACGTGCATGTTTTTGGTCTGTGGCAGAAAACCAGAGTTAATGGGGGTAGATTAAAAAAATGTGAAAACTAAACCTGCAAAGAGTTTCTACATCTATCGAACGAGTTCTCTATATGTGTGATTTTGGCTGTAGCTCAAGCACACGTTGAAAAGTGGTGGCGGCTGTGGCTGAGTGGTTAGAGCAGTCGTCCTCTAATGTGAGAGTTGGGGGTTCGAATCCACCAGCAGTCACATGCTGAAGTGTCCCTGGGCAAGACACTGAACCCCTCAT